TTCTTCGTCCCAGACGAATCCATTAACCTTCCGCAATACCTTGAAGAAAGGTAAAGCGCGCTCGGCTAGCTTGGAGAGGAACCGGCTGAGGGCTGCCAACCGACCGGTCAATTGCTGGACTTCTCGAACGGTGGAAGGTGGCTGCATGTCCAGAATCGCTTTTACTTTGGCCCGGTTAGGCTCGATTCCTCTCTTGGTCATCATATAGCCGAGGAACTTGCCGGTCTGAACCGCGAATGTACACTTGGTCGGGTTCAGCCGCAACTGGTACTTCCTCATGATCTGGAAGCACTCCCGAAGGTCCCGAGTGTGGTCGGATCGGTCCCGACTCTTGACCAACATATCGTCGATGTAAGCTTCCATCGTACGGCCCAGCAGATCAGCAAAGAGCATGTTGACCATCCTTTGGTAGGTCGCTCCTGCGTTTCGGAGGCCGAACGGCATCACTCGGTAACAGTACAGCCCATCCGGGGTCACGAAGGCCGTCTTGCTCTCGTCTTCATGGTGCATCATGATCTGATGGTACCCCTTGAAGGCATCCATGAAGCTCATTAACTCGGCCCCAGCCGTCTCGTCGACCATCTGATGAATGCTCGGTAGAGGATACGGGTCGAGCGGACAGGCTTTGTTGAGGTCCGTAAAGTCGATGCACATCCTCCATGCTGGGGGCTTAGGAACAAGAACAATATTTGCCACCCACTCAGGATAGACCACCGGGCGGATGTGCTCGATCGCCGCCATCTTTTTGACTTCTTCTCTTACAAACTCGCGGCGATCGGAGGAGAGGTGTCGTGTCTTTTGCACGACCGGCTTAGCTGCGGGATCGACGGCCAATTTATGACAAATGACCGACCGATCGATCCCGGGCATGTCTTCAGGCCCCCATGCAAAAATATCGGCATACTCCCGGAGCACGGCCAAAACTTCCGCTCGGATCTCGGGGGCGAGGGCTCGTCCAATCTTTATCTTTCTGTCCGGGCGGTCCTCGGACAGGGGAACTTCTTCTATCTCTTCGGAAGGCTCAGGCTGCTCCTTCCGTTCCTTAGCCTCCTCCTTGGCTATGGTGTTCACCCGGGAAGATGGACCGGAATCACGTCTATTGACCGCTCGGGTGTAACACTTCCGGGCGGATTGGACATCGCCACGGACCACGCCGACCCCGTTGGGGGTAGGGAATTTCATGCATAGGTGAGGCATAGAAATTATCCCACCGATCTTCATAATGGCGGGTCGGCCCAAGATAATGTTGTGGACGCAATGGAGGTTGACCACAACAAATTCCAGCTCCGTTTGGATCGACTTTGGAGGCGTGCCGATCTCGACCGGGAGCGTTATTTTCCCCTCGGGGTAGATAAGAGCCCCGGTAAATCCTGACAGTGGTACACCAATCGGAGTCAGCTCCTTCCTGTCAAGGCCAAGCTTCTCGAACACGTCCAAGTATAGGACGTTCACACTGCTGCCCGTGTCAACCATAACCCTTTGGACGTCCGTCCCCTTAACGTCAATCGTGACCACGAGCGCCTCCATGCCATGATCACTGCTGGTAGGTTGGTCCTCGAGGGTAAAGGTTATGGGCTCCATCTTCTGCCTCTTCCCGGTCTCCCGGGAATCCACTACTGCGACCGGGCAATTTGTCCTTGGTCGGGAAGCATCTTCCAGCCCACCAAAAATGACGTGGATGGTAGGTTTTCCGGACGGGCGGCTACCGGACGGAGGGTCAGGGTCCCGTCGGTCATCATGACGATCGTCCCTTCGATCGTCTCTTCGGTCCTGGCCCGACCGATCAGAGCGGTGATGAGATCGTCTGTGATCCCTCCGATCGGTATTCCTCTTGTTTTCCTCTCTCCTCCCCACACACTTGTCTAATTTTCCCAAATTGAGCAAATCTTCCAATAATTGGCGCAAGTGGGTACACTCCTCGGTGTCATGCCCGGCGCATCGATGGTAAGCGCAATGCTTACTCTTGTCAGGGCCGTCTCGATCGGGATGGGGAAGTTTGATGAGATTGCAGGACTGGGCGTATTGCATGGCCTCCGCTGCGGACCGGTTCAAGGCCGTAAACTCCCCAGGCCTGGTTCGGGATCGGGGATGGTCGTCTCCCGACCGGTGTTCCGCCCGGCCGGCCGGTTTACGGGACGAAGAGCCGACCTCCTGCGAGCGCTTGACGGCATTCGCCTCACCTGCGTTGGCGTAATCAGTGACCCTTCGGAGGGCCTCCTCATATGTGGTCGGGGGGTGGAGGATAAAATCCTGGTATAAGTATCCCGCCCGGAGGGAGATGTGAAGCATGTGAGTGGCGGTCGCATCATCCATGGGTTCGACCTCCCCGACCGCCGCCTTCCACTTGATGAGGAAATCGGTCAAGCTTTCCCCTTCGAGCTGCTTGGCCTTTTCGAGGTACATATAGGACTTCCTCACCACTTTGGAAGTAATGAACTTCCGTACAAACTTGATCGCCAGGGTCTCAAATTTGTCGATTGACCCCGGCTGCAAGGTTCGGAACCATTCTGCCGCCCGACCGGTGAGGGTTGAGTAGAAGGCCCTGCACATCACGGCGTCCGAAACGCCCTTCAGCATCATATTGCTGAAAAAATCATTCACATGAGCCTCAGGATCTGTCCGACCGTCGTAACTCTTCTCTCCCGAGACCTTTAAGTCGAGCGGGTAAGGCTGAGCCATTACCGCTGCTGTGAAAGGCGTCTGGTGTAGGGTCGATCGGTCGGCTGGGGGTGCTGTGGGATACGCACTTCTGAGCTGCGTAACTTCAGCCTGGAGGTTGTAGAGCAACCCTCGGGTTTCGTTGAGCTCGGCGGCTTGAGCGGCTTGGGCTGTATCCCGAGCGCGTCGTCGTCGGTGAGATCTCGACCCGCTATACCCGGATGAAGCCTCGTGGCTAGCTTCCTGCATTTGTACGTCCTCTTGCCCGCGATTCGGGTCTTGGGGTCCCAGACGCTGGCGCATCTCTGGTCGGAGACGATCGAAAGCTACCGCTCGGGCAACCTCTTCAGGGTCCTCCGCTTGAACGGCCTGAGCTGGTGCCTCCATCGCATCAGCACCCCCCGACCCCAACCGCGAATGAGCCGAGCGTCGAGCCCGGGATGCGGACTGACGCTGCGGCTCTACTTGTGCGGTCGGTTGTACTGGAGGGGCGGCGGCCGGAGCTGTGTAGGCAGGCGTATATGGTGGATAACCAACCGGGGAAGTGTAGCACATCGGTTGGCCTGGCCAATACCCGTACGGTGGAGGTGGGACCGGGTACGGGTACTGGGCGGGATACATCATCGGCTGCTGCTGGTATGGCAGACCGGGTGGTGGGTAGCCCGGTTGTATGTAATTCACCGGCTGCTGGGCGGCCGGGTATGTATTCGACGGATGTGGCGGTGAGAGATTGAGGTTAAGGTCCATTGTCTGACCTTGCTGTTGGGTAGCATAGTGGTCAGAGGAGCTCGCCGCATCCGCCTGGTCGTCGGCAAAGTTGTTGTGTGCCCACGGATACATGTTGATATGGTGATCGGGTGCTCGTCAAGACGTTGGTTTCTTGCACGGTTCCCCACAGACGGCGCCAAAATGATACTGCTAATTCTACGTAAGCAATATAGAATAACACGAGACCAATTAAAGCAAGTAAAATCTTTATTGATCACGGTAAAGGCCCTAAGCACAATCTACTTGGCTGCTCTGAGTACCGACTGAGTGCGGTCGGGATTCTCTAACAACAACCTATCGATCGTCCAAAAGTCCCCTACACTGTAGCTACTGTGGGCATTTATAGCCGCTATGCCGGGGACAAGATTCCAGCCGCTCGGCATGTCTTCCACGTAGCCACCACGTGTCATCTTCCCGGGTGCCCTGTCTGTCGCCATGAAGAGCCGCCACACGTCCTCTCGCGTCCTTGTGCCAGCTCTTTCGTCGAAGGGCTACCGCTCGGTGGTTGACATCAGCGCTCGGGCAACTCCCGGCCATTCCCGACCGGGGTCTTCATGGAAAAAGCCCGACCTGCCACCTGAAGAGATCATAAGAGAAAGACAAAGGCAAGTCGGTCGTGGTGGAGCTTATGTCGGTCGGGATATTCCCTACCAGACATGCAATACATGCGGCCTCCCAGGCCACAACAGTCGCACCTGTCTAGATAAACTTGCATCAGACGAAGTTTAGAATACATTTATTTTTAAAAAAGTGAACAATGCAATCTAGTTTATTATTACAAACTGTACAAGATTATTTACATTCAGCAAGCATTTTATTAATAATACTTGGTTTAATTAATTAAAAAAAAAGGGGGGGTGGGGGGTCGGCCTTCATTTAAACTGAATAGTACTGGCATTACTATGGTTTTATGACCACGAAACCATTACTCATATTTATAACAATATTAAACATGCTAAGACGTGAGAACTAACAAAAAGACTGCATGAATTACCCAATGCACACATGAAAATATGTATGGGCACACGACGCAACACACTGACCCCAGCAAACGACTAGCCAAAGATATATCCCAGCCACGCACGCAACAACCCACCACGACGCACACCGCAACACCATACCATAACTGAAACCCCGGTGGCACGCCACACAATAAACCACATCAGAGCAAATTAGCTCGACCCAAACCCAGCAGCAACGCCCCGTGAGGATGAGGCCAAAAGCCCAGAAAACAAGTAACCAAAAATATATTCATACACACGCACGCAACACCCAACCTCGATGCACACCGCAACAAAAGATATATTCCACAAATATATACTAAACAAACTACCAGACCACAGACCACAAACATACCAAACGAAAAAATAACAGTAAGCATAAATAAAAGCCATAATTGGCGCCCTAATAAAAACATCCAAAAATAGTATGGCCACAATATTCTGCACACATAAATACACGAAGGGGAGGCCACATGTTTACACATCCCAAACAATAAAACTGACCACAGTTAGCATTTATCGTGTGGATGACACACAGAAATCAAAAAACAAAAAACTAAATATCAAATATCACTACACGGCCGAAGGAGGAACCGATATTGATTGATACGCACGAGAAAGGTTGGTCGAACGATGCACATTATGCTCACAAAGGACGAGCTCCCTCATGTACCGCATCCTCAACTTGTGCAGAATCGTACTGTCCCCCTTAACTAGACCACAATCCCAATCAAGAACACGCTGCCCGAGAAACGTCTCCGTGTGCCGCATCATAAAAACCCCGCAATCAATCTGATTCTTGGAATCCCGCCAAGCCATCTGCAAACGCTTAGATTCCAAACCAACAAAAGCAGCAGACATTCCAGGAGCAACAACTTTACAAAATGCCGATAGCATAACCTTCTGCAAACGAACATATCAAACATTAACTCAACATTCAAAGCAGAGACCAAGGAGGAAATGAAAATCAAACACAACAAAAGAGGGGAAAGTGTGCCACCATAGAAACACTAACCATCTCCTCAATACAATCGCCGTACTTCTGCGCCTTTGCTTGGGGATTAGAGTCACTATCAATAATCTCATACCGACCGCGTTGGAAATCAAAGCACAACAAGAAATAGTGGCTACGGCGCAAAATGGGGAAAAATAACTGCACAAAGGACAACAAAAAAACAAATCAGGTGGTGGAGCTGTGCACAGAAAACAAAGCCCATGTGCACAAACTAGAATAGTGTGCACGTGTGGACGACATGATGTGCGCAGGCAAACTCATAACACAGCAGAAAAATAAAAATAAAAAAAAAAAAAGGAAAATACACAACACATATACCATGTCAACTTCAAAAATGTCTTTATACGGCGACAACATGAAGTCCATCCCCAACATGAAGATCATATAACCCTGAAATGAAAGATGTTTTTATATTTGCCAAGTGGTGTTCTTACAAGTAATTTCTTGTTGTATCTTTGCATTATTGTGTTCATATACATCTAGCATGCCTCATATGAAGAAGTCATTTTAGATTACAGTCCAAAACCCATGTCGAGAAGGGAAAAAACTGCTTGTTCTAGATATCGACTATACTATAATTGATCACAAGTCAGCAGCACAGAACCCATATCAACTCATGAGACCTTGTGAGTTACTTTTTGCTTAGATGCTTTTCTTGCTGCCTAACTTGGTGGTCATAATTGATATCTTATCACATGCAGATCTGCATGAATTTCTCTTGGCTGTCTATGCAGAGTATGATATCATCATCTGGTCTAAAACCAGGTCAGAATTTCGTCCCTGGTCATTGCAATTATGATGATATATTCACCATTGAATGGTTTGCTAAAAAGATGATATATTGCCTATGCTTCCTAAAATGATGTATTAGGCCATATGTACATAAGATAAAGATCATATGCACTGCACTCTGCACTCATCATTTCTATTTTTAAAAACCAATAATTAATGAATAAAACTAGTGGTAATTCCTACACCAAAATATAAGAACAGAGACAAGCCCTAAATTCGGCTAATCAAAAAAACAGTCCGCCACCGCCGCAAACAAACACCTCAGAAACGCCACCAATGCTACCAAACCAGCAACCCCCCCCCCCCACCCAACAACACAAAACAACACAAAAAGCACCAAACAGAGAAAATCCCTAAATTCGGCTACCCGTAAAAACACCCCCCACCGCCGCAAACAACCACCTCAGAAATCGTACCAAACCAGCACCCCCCCCACCCAACAACACAAAACAACACAAAAAGGACAGAAAAACAACAATACCGAACAGAAAAACGGGAAAAAAAAAAAAAGGGAAAAAGAAATCGTACCTCTACCGACAGCTCCGACCGGTGGTCCCCCCTCTTCAGCGAAACGCGGTCCCCACCCACTACCATGGCTACGTGAAACAGAAAATGGAATGAGACGAAGCTGCGAAGAAGACGCGACAAAGAGAAGTTTCCACCCCACGGAGAGAGAGAGAAAGCGACGCAGAGAGCTTGAGGAAAGGTAACCTAGCGCGTGAATGTGGACTACTCTGACTAGGACACACCAATAAACAAAATACCAAATAAACCCCCCCTTCCCATAAAAACAAATGCACTTAACGTAAAAACCCACAGCCACACGCTAGAATCACCACCGTCCGATCAACACATCCAACGGCCCAAACAAGTCCACAGGTTTGTATTTTAAGAAGTGATTTCACCTGAATGAGATTCTATATATATATATATATATATATATATATATATATATATATATATATCTACTATACTAATAAGAGCCCAAGAGAGTTAGGCCTATAATGGGTAGAAAAAATGGCGGTCAAATTTTTTAATCAAATGAATGGCTCAGATTGATCAGATTTTAATTTTTCCTTAAGATTTCCTAATTTATCCTTAATGAATATGATTGTCCGTTAACTTTTCCGTTAAATATTATCTTTTCCGTTAGTTTCTGTTAGTTCACCGTTAACTTATTCATTTATTTCAATTTCAATAAGAAAGGTCTTAGGTTCGAACCCCATCCCAATCAAAGTTGGCATAATGAATACTATATTTTACTCTTATTAAATTAAATGATAATTTAGTAGCTACAAGAAAAAAATAATACTTATGAATTTCTTTAATTTAGAATTATGTGTCTACAATGTCTTTATTAAAAAAATTTATTCATTATCAATAAATTAAATAAAAGAAATAATTTTATTAGTTATATTGTCTTTATTTTTTTCCAATATAAAAATTCTTTACATTCAAATTCATCAATTGATTATATTCGCTACATTGTCCCTACAATGTCTTTATTTAAAAAAAAAATATTCATTATCAATAAATTAATTAAGAGAAATAATTTTATTAGTTATATTGTCTTTATTTTTCTGCAATGTAAAAATTCTTTACATTCAAACTTATCAATTGATTATATTCACTACATTGTCTATTATCTTTTTTTTTTTTGTGCACTATTTTTAAATAAATATCAAAGTTATAATACAAATAATGCTATATGTTTATTTACCAAGTATTTTATTAATACCATGAAAATTTTTAAAAAATATAATTAATAAAGTCAATCATATTAACTACTTGAGAGATTTGTTGACAAAGAGAGTATTCAAATCACACAACAAATTGAAGTGAGAACTACCTCACGATGTCCTTATTTGACAATCAGCATTTAGCGGTTAGCGTTAGCGGATTTGACCAGTGAATTATATCAACGGTTGGTAAAAAGATATTTGAAAAAATTAGCTATTTTCTATCTACTATCTACTATACTAATAAGAGCCCAAAAGAGTTAGGCGTATAATGGGTAGAAAAAATGGCAGTCAAATTTTTTAATCGAATGAATGGCTCAGATTGATCATATTTTAATTTTTCCTTAAGATTTCCTAATTTATCCTTAATGAATATGATTATCCGTTAACTTTTCCGTTAAATATTATCTTTTCCGTTAGTTTCTGTTAGTTCACCGTTAACTTATTCATTTATTTCAATTTCAATAAGAAAGATCTTAGGTTCGAACATCATCCCAATCAAAGTTGGCATAATGAATACTATATTTTACTCTTATTAAATTAAATGATAATTTAGTAGCTACAAGAAAAAAATAATACTTATGAATTTATTTAATTTAGAATTATGTGTCTACAATGTCTTTATTAAAAAAAATAATTCATTATCAATAAATTAAATAAAAGAAACAATTTTATTAGTTATATTGTCTTTATTTTTTTCCAATATAAAAATTCTTTACATTCAAATTCATCAATTGATTATATTCGCTACATTGTCCCTACAATGTCTTTATTAAAAAAAGATATTCATTATCAATAAATTAATTAAGAGAAATAATTTTATTAGTTATATTGTCTTTATTTTTCTCCAATGTAAAAATTCTTTACATTCAAATTTATCAATTGATTATATTCACTACATTGTCTATTATCTTTTTTTTTTTGTGCACTTTTTTTTTAATAAATATCAAAGTTATAATACAAATAATGCTATATGTTTATTTACCAAGTATTTTATTAATACCATGAAAATTTTTAAAAAATATAATTAATAAAGCCAATCATATTAAGTACTTGAGAGATTTGTTGACAAAGAGAGTATTCAAATCACACAACAAATTGAAGTGAGAACTACCTCACGATGTCCTTGTTTGACAATCAGCATTTAGCGGTTAGCGTTAGCGGATTTGACCAGTGAATTATATCAACGGTTGGTAAAAAGATATTTGAAAAAATTAGCTATTTAGATTAACATGTAAAATGACCTAAGAGTATACATATATTTAATAATAATAATAATAGTAATAATAATAATAATAATAATAATAATAATAATAATAATAATAATTGTTTAAAATAATATATATATATATATATATATATATATATATTTTTTTTTGAAAGTATATATATATATATATATATATATATATATATATATATAATTAAGCCAATCATATTAACTATTTGGAGAATTTATTGACAAAAAGAGTATTCAAATCAGTGAATCACACAACAAATAATTGAAATGAGAAACTACCTCGCAATGTCGTCCTTGTTTAGCAATCAGCAGTTAGCTCTTCAATATTAGTATATATTTAATATTATATTTCATAATTTTTATTTGTTCTCCCTTATGTCCCATATTTGGTTTCAACCATACTCATACAATTATTTTATTGACAATTATAATCAATCTTGACTATATTATATTGCATTTGTAAACGTAGAATTACCTATTTAAATACGCAAATTCAACTTTCAATTATCTATGTATGAACAATTCCAATATAATCTTGTCTTGATATATTTTAAAGTACTTATATTAAAAAAAATGGCACTTTTTCCCCTGAGTTATATATACTTATAGCACTTTTTCCCCCTGAATTATTTAAGTGGCTCTTTTCCCCCCTAAAATGTTAAATGGACATATTTACCCTTAAAATAAATATTTAAAATAAATATTTTATTTATTTTTCTTCTCCAACAAATTATTACTATAATTTGGTCCAAACCAAACATATACTATAGCAACCAAACCAAAATATTCCAATTACAATTTAGAATCAAAACGCGATATTTAGAATTTATTAAAATCGCAAACCGGAATGGCCGGTTCATGTTCCGAACTGAAAAAATAAAATACATTTATTGTTGAATTTAGACTATTTTAAAATAAAAAAATAAAATAAAATTTTAAAATAAAGACGGTTCAAAATCGCGAACCGGATCCGGAACCGCCGGTTCACGGTTCATGATCAAGTTTTTTTGGTTCATAAATTTAATAAATTCAAATTCAAATATTGGGTTCTATATCTGAATCATAACCGAAACTTTTAATTCGATTGCTATAGTGTCCGGTTAAGTTCGAACCAAACCGTAGTCATTGCAACATATACACAATAATTTGTTGGAGAAGTAAAATAAATAAAATGTTTACTTTAAGGATAGAAATGTCAATTTAATATATCAGGGGGGGAAACCACCACTTTTAAAATAATTGAGGGGGCTAATGTATTTACATAAATAATTGAGGGGGAAAAAAGGCTATAAGTATATAACTTAGGGGAAAAAATGTTATTTTTCCAAAAAAAAAAAAAAAAAAAAAAAAAAAAAAAAAAAAAACATTGGACATTATCTCAATCGCGCAATGCGCGTAAAAAACTAGTATATATATATATATATATATATATATATATATATATATATATATATATATACACACATACAAAGTAATACATATATGTGCCTATTGTGGTAGCTATAATGCATAAATAGCTATAATGCATATATGTGCCTATTGTGGTAGCTATAATGCATAAATATATATATATATATATATATATATATATATATATATATATAGGGGCGGGGCGGGACGAGGAGAGTACTCTCATCCCTAGCGATGAATTCAAAATTCCACCATTCCCATCCCCGATCCTCTATTTTTGTCTCCATCCCCGTCCTCGTTGGGGCGTAGAGCCGAGTACGAGTACAATTGACATCCCTAATGCCAAGTCACATAATCCGAGTGCAGTACAAATCATCATAGTCACACATATAATACTAAGTCTCAAATCCTCACAAGGACAAAACCATATCAAGCATCGGAGAATCAATCTCAATAACTCATCATCTCGTGGAACAAGTGTGGAGGGCTACCAGACATCATCAATATCTCAAGTAACCAATTGAGACAGCTCTACATCCTTAAGTGTATACACCCTTATTGGGATCTTCAGGCACAAATAAGTAGAACTAGATCCGACAAGCCATGATACGTTTCGACCAAGTTGTCCAACTCAAAAAATACTAAAGATGAGTTTATATATAAATTCCATGTATACTTTGTTTCACATCATCTATATCTATATATCTATATCTATATATCTATATATATATATATATATATATATATATATATATATAAAATCCTAAAAGCCAAGTTTTCCCCCCAAAACTTAGGGGCATTTTTGTAACATCATCCAAATTATATATCTTTTACGTATATATATATATGTATATTCAATATTGTATACTTGCTTACTTACCAAAGCTTACCAAATATATTATTATTACCTTTATTCTACCTAAACATAAATGCATGTATATGTAATCCAAATTCTCTTAATGCATATATATGTAATCCAGCGTTACTTCCGTATATAATTTTAACTTTAGTAGTTGTTTTCCTTTTAAAAGTTTGCCTTTGGTGGTTTGCTTTGACCCGTAGAATCTTCTACTCATATATATAGATAAGGAATCATTTAGGATAATAATTAATAAAGGAAGGGATTAAATTAGGGATTCGCAGTATAAGGAAAAGAACATTTTCGCAGTATAAGGAAAAGAATATTTAAGATATTTTCGCAATTGTACATGGACATTTCTCTATAATCGGCCACATAATTTGCAAAATCATCTTTATTTAACAAATAATAATGTTCCATAACCAGCCACCTATTCTGCACTATAAATACTCTTCTAATCCTGAACAATTCTACCATCCTTTATTTTCTATTCTTCTATGTTATTTCTCCTTATTGTTCACTAATGGAGATTCTCAATAAAAATCTGAAGTTTGTTGAAGGAGTTCTAATGATTAAATTATCAAAAGCTCGAAAAGATGTTCAACCTGAACTTGAGAAACTAAGATAGAAGGCAATATCAAAGGTATTTTATATTTTGCAGGCTATGAGAATGTAATTTTGTGTGATGTGGTGTCATTTTATATTTTGAAGTTTCATTCCAATGGTTAAATCATCAAAAGCCCGAAAAGATGTTCAACCTGAACTTGAGAAACTAAGACAGAAGCCAATATCAAAGGTATTTTATATTTTGTAGGCTATGAGAATGTAATTTTGTCTGATGTGGTATCATTTTGTATTTTGAAGTTTCATTATAAGGTTAAAACAACTAAAATCTCACTACCCCAATGAGGGGTGAAAACGCAAGGAAAGGAAAGAAAAGAAAAAACATAGGGGAGAAAATGGCTAGCAAAATAAACATGCTCCATATTAATGATGGCACCATTTACTAATGTGATCTTTGGTTTTACAAGCAAAATAAGCATGTTCCAAAAGTGATAATGTAGTACAAATAGTCATGAAGAAGGGATCAGTTAACATAGGTTGCAAGAGGAAGGAGCATATGGATGCAAATAAAGGTACCATTCTAAGCATATCAAATTTTACAGTTTTAAATCAATTACTAACTAGACTTACTTTAGAAATGGTAGCTATCACTTATTCAATCCTTCTATACCTTTTTATCATGTTCAATCTTAAAAACCTGTAAAAAAAAATCATATATTGTTATTGGAAACATTTTATTATCATTGTTGATATGTACATACACATAATGAAATATACAAAATATTTAAAATAAATTTACCCTTTTCTCAGTGTCGTTGTTTTTTCGATATCTAGAAAACATGATTTATTGTTTAGTATAAATGCACATAGGTCATTCAAATATATTGGATTTGAAACGCTAGCATTTACGTATTAAATTCTGACGTTGGAAAATGAATTTTCTAATCCGTAGATGAAGGGAGAAAAGAGCGGTGGAATGGAAATTGAAAGGTGAAACCCTAACCCTAATTCTAAGTCGTACAAGTATTTTGGAGTAATAAAAACAGGTACTAAACATGTATTTTACAATAAGGCGGTTCAAACACACCACCTGTTCAATGGATTTCCTCACAGGTATGCTATGGGAGGGGCTTCAAATGAATGGCTCAGATTGATCAGATCTTAATTTTTCTTTAAGATTTACTAATTTATCCTTAATGAATATGATTTTCCGCTACCTTTTCCGTTAAATATTATTTTTTCCGTTAATTTCGGTTAGTTCACCGTTAACTTACTCATTGATTTCAATAAGAAAGGTCTTAGGTTCGAACCACATCCCAATCAAAGTTGGCATAATTAGTACTTTATTTTACTCTTATTAAATTAAATAATAATTTAGTAACTACAACAAAAAATAATACATATGCATTTCTTTAATTTAGAATTATGTGTCTACAATGACTTTATTTTTTTTAAAAAAATATTCATTATCAATAAATTAAATAAGAGAAATAATTTCATTAGTTATATTGTATTTATTTTTCTCCAATATAAAAATTCTTTACATTCAAATTTATCAATTGATTATATTTGCTACATTGTCCCTACAATGTCTTTATTTATAAAGATTATTCATTATCAATAAATTAATTAAGATAAATAATTTTATTAGTTATATTGTCTTTATATTTCTCCAATGTAAAAATTCTTTACATTCAAATTCATCAATTGATTATATTCACTACATTGTCTATTATCTTTTTTTGTGCACTATTTTTTAATTAAATATCAAAGTTATAATACAAAATAATGCTATATGTTTATTTACCAAGTATTTTATTAATACCATGAAAAAATTAAAAATATATATATAATTTATAAAGCCAATTATATTTACTACTTGGGGGATTTGTTGACAAAGAGAGTATTCAAATCACACAACAAATTGAAGCAAGAACTATCTCGCAATGTCCTTGTTTGACAATCAGCAGTTAGCGATTAGCGTTAACGGATTATATTAGCGAATTTGACCAGCGAATTATATCAACGGTTGGCAAAAAGATATTTGAAAAAAAAATTGTTTAGATTAACATGTAAAATGACCTAAGGGTATACATATATTTAATAATAATAATAATAATAATAATAATAATAATAATAATAATAATAATAATAATAATAATAATAATAATTGTTTTAAAAAAATAACAAAATAACAAAATATAATTAAGCCAATCATATTAACTACTTGGGGATTTATTGACAAAAAGAGTATTCAAATCACACAACAAATTGAAGTGTGAAACTATCTCGCAATGTCCTTGTTTGGCAATCAGCCGTTAGCTCTTCAATATTAGTATATATTTAATATTTTATACCCTAATTTTTATTTGCTCTCCCTTATGAACCGTATTTGGTTTCAACCATACCTATACAATTATTTTATTGACAATTATAATCAATCTTGACTATATTATCTTGCATTTGTAAACTTAGAATTGTCTATTTGAATACGCAAATTTAACATTCAATTATCTATGCATGAACAATTCCAATATAATTTTGCCTTAATATACTTTAAAGTACTTAATTAAAAATATAGTAATATTGGGCATTATCCCAATCGCGCAATGCGCGTACAAAACTAGTAAAGAGATAAAAGGTAAAAAAACCATCAATTTCACTGTATAGATCTATATATTGAAATTGATGATCTTTTTACCTTTTATCTTCAACTTTGTCTCTGAATTTTCCATTCAAGTTTGGACTTCACACTGCTGGAAATCTGCATTTTTCCGACCACCCAAAAGTGGTCGAAAAAGGGAGATTTCCGGTCGGAAATGCAGTTTCCGACCAACTTACCGACCACTTCATGGATTCGGAAAAAAAGCCCTCGCTATTACCGACAACTACTCAAGGTGGTCGAAAATACCGGCTTCTTTTTTAGGACGTCGGAACTACTAGTTGTCGGACAAAGAGAACATATTTCCTACCACTGGTGGTCAGTAATTGGTCGGAATTACCATCCACCAGTGGTCGGTAAGATTTACAAAGAAAAAAATTAAAAAAATTGAATTACCGACCACTAGGTGGTCGGTAAGATTTACTAACAAAAAAAAAATTAAAATTTTGAATTAGACCTATTACAATTATACAAATTTCAGCACCACAATATTAAATTCTACAATACAATTAACAATTTAAGGAAATCAAACATTAGTCAATCATTTAAATCAAGGTGTAGCAATTGTTTCACCATCAAAAATACATTTATCAAAATATTAGCAAACATGCATGCTAATAAGGTTTTGTAGCAATTGTTTCAGCATCCAAATGAGTTATAAGAAGCTTGAAACAATTGCTACAAATGGTCGATTCTTAAGTGTTACTACAAATGAGTTATAAGCATCTATTTAAAGTTCTAAACCATAAATGGCTACCACAAAACGGGAGAAACTTTTGGGTTCAATGAAGGGTGAAAGAGGATTTGACAGAAATTTAAAAAGAAAATTGATTGCTCGAGTAGACAACTTAGATATCTAGGTACCTATCGGGATTATTTCTCATTTGGAAACGTGAATTTCTCTCTAACTTGAGGCCCCGATGATTTTTTAGAAAATAAGCTACGCTTTGTCGCTTTCCAACCGAGTGAATCTGCTTTTGCATAGCCTTTAGAAACACCTCGACCTGTAAGAAACAAAAAATTTAAGTTCTGTTAACTCATCATATGCATTTAAAAACAAAAATTAAACAATATTTTTCTTTTTTCCTCTTCTTTAGATTATACCAAAATTTTGTTTAATTGGCTGAAAACAAAATATTTCTTCTTTTAATAACTATTAAAGTCTTGGACAACAAAAGCTCCAAATAAAAGAAGGCACTATTATCAAGGTCAAATGAAAGCAATTTCTCAAGTATAAACAGAAGGCAATTGTAGCTCAAACCTTGGATATAGTAAGCTAAATACTCTCTTATTACTAATGAGATTTATTCAAAACTCATGTACCATGGAGTAGTAGGTTACCTTAGCCAAGCCTTTGATTGATTCAGCTGTCTCTTCAGATAAGAACCTCTTCAAGACATTATATACAAAGCTACAAGGGTTTCTACCAGAATGCCAGTAGAGGGACTATTTCTGCCCACTTTCTATCAATTGAGGGGTCATTCTTGTCAATTTTTTTTAACTCAATGGGGAAAAAAAGGAATTGTCATCACAATATCATATACAAAGGATGAAAAGTGAATTACCTTTATTTCATAATAAATGTTGAATTAGTGGAATTGGAAAGCTTTCTATTTTCATACTTCTATCCACACATCATACATGAAAGGGCAGAACTAGGATGCAAACATCAATAAGAATAGCATAGTGAATCATGTATATATGAACTATGAAGGCAGTTACCTTAACTGCAGAAAGCACAACAGCACAATTTGCATGCTGCAGTCGTGGAGTTACTCGCTCAACTATGTTTCCAGCTTCACGAGCATCAGTTGCTTTGTATTTGGAGAGAGCATCCAATATAAACACTTGACCCCGCCTAAATGAATGGATCATTACTCCCATTAGTAAAGAAAAGAATAGAAAGTACAGCATGTTTCATCTAGTTTAACTGCTAGGAAGAAGTAATCACAACTTCTCATAAGCAAGCATTTGAGATTTATGCCAAATGAATACTAGATGAATAAACTTAAGAGCCAAAAGCATCAAATGTCAAAATCATAATACAGTCCTTTGCAGAAAACTTACTCAGTGCATTCATTCAAAGCTGTAAGGAGTTTAGACAGTGTATGGCTGGATGAAATAGTCTTTTCTGTCCAATGGCTTACCACCAGTTAGCAATGTAGCACCCTCCCTCTTCCCATGCTCTATATATGAAAGTATCTTCTCATACTGGTTTTTGCTAGCCTAAATGCATCAAATACACATGCATGTTAAAGCATATTGGTATTGGTAAACTTAATGGTGTATATGGCTTGTTTCAAGCAAACTAGATCATACTTGGGGTCCCTGTTGAACATTTGGATCAAAAGGGTCATCAACCACCTTTGCCTTCGCCTTTGCGACCACTTTCTCAACAAACTTGTCATAAATTCCTTCCTGGACAAACACTCGTGAGCCAGCCACACATATTTCACCCTGCCAAAATGCCAAATTAAAACCCCAATATCAATCAGTATATCTACATGCTAAGAGTTGAGGAAAGGAAACCTGGGATGGATATTACCTTATTATATGCGACACCAGCTAAACCAAGATAGCAATTAGAAGAAATGCATAGTAATGATCTGTATAGCTAAATTCTCACATGCTCTTGTTTTTTTTTTTTAAAAAAAAAAAACAAAGTTTAGATAATAAGAATTAGATAAGGCCACCTTAATGTGCAGTTGCTCCTTTTTAGATCCCACAATGACCTTTGTGTCCTGTTTTGATTGAGTGACCTTAGTTCCAGGAAAGATAAAGGCAGTAGTAAAACAGCTTAACTAATAGGACAATGGCAATTGACAACCAATTGAAGTTAGGGTAGGTAGGTCTTGAGGAGATAATAAGAATCAGTGGTTTTTAAAATCATTTTTAATAATAGTGAAGATGGAGTGTGAAAAAAGAATAACCTTCAGGATGAGGTTCTGTCACGTGATGAGCATCAGAAGTGAAACTTCCACCGAGAAATTCAGCATAGATTGTTGCACCCCTTTTCTGCTCACTCAAACAAGGAAAATTCGGGTTGCATGTGATGATAAGGAATGGAATGAAATTACTAGACTTGGGAAGTACATGCAAGAGTTTACCTTTCCGTGCTCAAGTTCTTCCAGAAGCAGAACTCCAGCTCCTTCACCCATGACAAACCCATCGCGGTCCTGTCAATAGCAATATCAGCAGATGCAAGTAATTCTAATCTAACAGAGAAGATGCAAATGAAAGAAATGGCATTACACTATCCCAAGGCCGTGAAGCTCTAGTAGGATCATTGTTTCTCTGAGAAAGTGCCCTGCAAGCAATAAATCCACCAACTCCTGCAACAAGGACGTTCGATATGTGACAACCAAAAATAGCTAGCTAAATCAATGTATAATTACAAAAGAAGATATAATAACAGTTGGTATAATTACTGAATCAGATCCCCCAGAAAGCATCATATCCTGAAACTCTTAAAGCATTTTAAACAATATAAAGTTCAACTCATCAAGATATAGTCATCGTTTTAACCACATTAAAATTATCAGTAAAGTTCATGTTGTAGGAAGTAGGCAAATCCACTTACAGCTTCACCTCTGATGATGTGGTGTATGTATGATTCTTATAGGATAATAGAAGCATAGTTTGGTGATCTTAGCCTAACAGTTTATGTATATTGAACATCAAGAGTCATACATAACCCCTTTATGCATATTGAACAGCAAGAATCATACATACACCCACTGCATTTAATTAATCCAAACATGTGATTAATCTAGATTCTAGTGCAAGGAAATCCAGTGCATTTAAGCATTCCAGTGAACGGAACTTATATAGATTATTATTTTCATGACTTACAAAGTACTCCTTATATTGCATTACCTCAATGGTGAAAAGAGCTAATGCTGTTTAATTCACCATAATTACAAACTCACCTAAGAAAAGGTCAATCATAGCAATTAAAAAACTGCTCATGTCAATTTGGTTCAGAGCAATTTGCTAAGCCACACACCTAAAATGATTTTGTACAATTCTATGCACAATTACGAAATGACAGACAAATATGAAATCATGAGAATATAGATTTTACAATCCATACCAGTTCCTAATGATTCATAAATCTTTCTTTTCCAGGCAGCAACCACTAACCACCAAGTCAATTTTAATTAAACAATAACAATTCTAGACAATAAATCATCTATTAATCCTAAAAGAAATCAAGAAATAGAAATTTTACTGTCACAATACTTCGAAAATTTTCAAATTCACCACTTTCAGAATTAGGAATTTAGGGATTAAGGTTTAACATTTGAGTAATACAACTAACTTGTAGCGCAGCAGAGACGGCAACGAAGATGAGCGAATTTGACGGGAAGAGGCGTGCGCTGTCTCGATGGGAAGAGGCTCGACGGCAACCTAGCTCTGAGACGGAAAAGCTCGACGGCAACCAAGCTTGTTGTTGTTGACCAAGCTCTGCGACGAGAAGTGGCTCGACGACAGCGAGAAATTTGCAGAGGTGGGAAATATTATGAGATTTGCAGAGTAAACGTGCGAGGTCCGCGAGGAGAAGAGTGAACGCTGAGAGCAAATGCGCTTTTTGTCTTTTTGCTTTTTTCCAAGTAGAAAAAGATGTCTAAGCAAATTGAAGTGTTTTATTTTATTTTATTTTTGCATACTGAAAATTAAGATTAATTAAAAAAATTAAACTGCCGAATAAAATTTCCGAACATTCCGATCACTAATTAAAAGTGGTCGGAAACTCCGACCTATTTGCGTCCACCACAATCCTTCAACGAAAAATTGAAAAAATGTAACTTTTTCCAACAAATTTTTTAGGTGGTCGGAAAATGGTTAGAAAATTAAAGATTTCCAGTAGTGTCAATAGAAATTCACCAAAATCGAGCAAAATCAAATTTCAAATCGAAGCAACTAAAGGCACGGACTTTATTTTTTTAAAAAAATTAAACATATCTATTTCGGGGAAAAAGCGCCCTCAAAAAATTGAAACTTTAACTTAAAATTGAAAAATAAAATTGCCCCTAAATACCAAGAAATTATTATAGTAAGTTTATGTTAATGTCCATTTACATTCTTTCATGAAATTATTATGATAATTTTATGTTAATATCTATATATATTTTTATACTTAACATATAAAAATATAATTTCACAATATTATATTATTAATACAATCACCAAATAATTATTATGGTAATTTAGAAATTAATTGCATATATATTAGTAGTACAATTGACTAATAATTAATATAGTAATTAAGCTAATAATTACTTGAATATTAGTATAATCTATATCTATATTATTAATAAAAGTAAAACCATTCTCTTCAAATTTTCCACCCAAACTAATAAGAATATTAATTAATTACGTATATGTAATTAATGTTGTCAGTACACACACACCACGAAGAGTTAGTATTTTAATTTTTATTATTAAAATTTTCAATTATTTAACATTTTGACTAGGAGTTGACAGGGAATGAAGAATCTCATTTGTATTACAAAATTAATAATATATATTGACACACACACACGTAGAGTTAGTATTTTAATTTTTATTATTACATTTTTTAATTATTTAACATTTTGACTAGGTGTTGACGGGGAATGAAGAATCTCATTTGTATTACAAAATTAATAATATATATTGACTACAATTTTATATGGGAATTAACTAATATATTAGAATTTCCTTGAAATTTTTCATGTCAATAATTAACTAATTTTTCTTTTTCAAATTCATTAAAATTCCAACGAAATTCTTTTTTTTTTTCTTATCATTAATTAACTAATTCTTTTTCCAATTCATTAGATATTAGTTAATTTCCATATAAAATTTTGTTAAGAATTAAGCTTTATTAATTCTTTTTACCAGTTAATTAATATTCATATTAGTATAGATTAGTGTACTGTAACTAATTCCCATTTGTATTTGCATAAAAATGTAAGATTCCTTTTCCAGCTTATTTGCGTAAAGATGAATTCTTTTTCCAATTTTTTGAATACTAATTAATAGTAAACCATTGAAGTCAATATGTTCTTAAAAAGGGAAAAAAAAAATAGAAAGTACACACTCCTGAATTCTTAAATATTTTGAGATTGTCTGGACTTCTTAATAATTCATTGACATTAAAGATTGGTGCACCTGTTATGTTATTGCGGAATATAGACCACTCTCTTGGTCTTTGCAACGGTACGCGCCTCATCGTCACAATATTGACAGATCACATTGTCGAAGCAAGAATAGTTAATGGGACACATCAAGGCCGGAAAACCAAAGTTCTTATCCCCCGAATGTCTCTCACCCCTTCTGATATGAGATTGCCCTTCAAGTTCCAGCATAAATAATTCCCGTTGATGCTTGCATATGCCATGACTATATATCAACAATAGTCAGGGCCAAACACTAACTCACGTTAGGTTATTGTTGAAAAAATCAATCTTTAATCACAATCATTTGTACGTGGCTTTTTCCCGAGTCGCCCATCCTGATGGCCCGAAGATGATGGACAAAATTCTGTTACTACTAACAATGTTTTCTACAAAGAGGTTTTCAATAATGTGTAGTTCAAACAATTGATATTATGTTTTCTTTTTATACAAAAATGACAAAATTGCTATATATCTACATAGAAAATATATATTCCGTACAAATAATTTTTATAACTAAGTTGCTAGATAACGAGCTAATTAGCATAATTAATACAAATCATAAACTCTGATATATAAAATCTCTAAAGTTTCAACACCGGATGCGTATATCTACACTTTAGCTATTAATTGGGTAATTATTTGCTAGAATTCAAGCAATGATAACATTAGAAAACATAATTGATCAAACTAAATTTTTCAATTAATATTGCACTTTATAATATTCGATGTTATAATTTATACAATTGTATATCGCTCTAAATATTTTTAAAACATTATAACAAATTCATTTCGTGCAATGCACGAGCGTAAATACTAGTTTGTAAAATAAAGAATAACTTTAAGTAACTCAGATTATTAGGCTAGTCCCTAAATTTTAAGTTAGCCTGTTTAGGCAATTATGTTTATCGATTTCGAATTTATCAGGTTAATTTTGTTTATCCTAACTCTAAAATTTTTTAATTTTATCAAATTTAGGGATGGCAACGGGGCGGGGCGGGGGCGGGGAGTATACTCCCCGTCCCCGTCCCCGTGACCTCGTCCCCATCCCCGTCCCCGTCTCCGTCCCCGGCGGGGAATTGAAAATATTCCCCATCCCCGTCCCCGCGGGGAATTAGGCGGGGTCGGGGATTCTCCATTCCCCGTCAGCGCCTAGTCAAAATGTTTAATAATTTTAATTTTTAATAATAAAAAATATAAAATTTAAGTACTAGTTTCAAAAATTAAAATACTAACTATATATATATATATATATATATATATATATATATATATAAAGGACTAACAGTAGTATACTATATTTATATGTGTAATGAAGAATATATATGTATATAATTAATGTTGACACAGTGTATGTAATTTGCAGTTTTGCACTGTAGTACATAATAAGTATATATACAGGCAGTGTATTTTATATATATTTATAAAATTATTCGGGGACGGGGCGGGGCGGGGAGGGGTATCCCCGTCCCCGTCCCCGTCCCCGACGGGGAATCACACATATTCCCCGTTCCCGTTCCCGTCCCCGTTCTCCGAAAATTTTTTCCATCCCTGTCTCTTTCGGGGCGGGGATCGGGGATCCCCGTGGGGAACGGGGCACATTGCCATCCCTAATCAAATTAGCCTATTAATTTGATTCTGAATAGCTAGGAGTTTCCTTGCAAAACCAAAAAAAGAAAAAGAAAAAAAGAGAAATCAGGGTAAATTTAATACTGATTAGGAATATTCTAGAGTTATTAATCTTAAAAAGAGAGAGAAATACCCTTTTTCCTAATCTATATCACTGTCTCAAGCCTCCAACTCTTCCTTATTCTCGCACCCGTTATTTTCATCTCCGGCGATCAGGCGAATTGTCTCTTGTTACAGTATTCTAGATCCAAGATGAGTCACCAGGCCGAGTCATCGGACTCGTGAGTTCCCCCTCTTTCTCTCTCTCTCTCTGACAGCTTGCAACTCGTTTCCTGTCCTCTTACTCCATGAATCGGTGTTACTTTAGCTTCGGAATCCCCTCGTCTTGCGATATTCTGATGCGATTTTCTTTCTTTTGATTGTTTCAGAAAAAGCACTAAGAAAGACTTCTCTACCGCGATCTTGGAGCGGAAGAAGGCGCCTAATCGCCTCGTCGTTGACGAGGCGGTCAACGATGATAACTCGGTCGTTGCCCTCAACCCCGCCACCATGGAGAAGCTCCAGCTCTTTCGCGGTGACACAGTTCTGATCAAGGTAACTTTTATTTAGTTATTTATTTATTTAATTTAAAAGCTAATGTCGGAATCTTTATTGTTATAATGTACAATTTTGTGATTGCTAGGGTTTTTATGAGAATCGTAGTAGTAATTTAGCTGAACCTCGTAAATTTTTGATAATTATAATAGTCATATTCGTCTGGTTATTTCAGTCTTGGTGGCTACTCATACAATTTTTAGTGGTTGTAGTTTTATAACTTTGTCAAATTTTTGAGTGCTAATTGGGGGATATTCTTTACTTTTGTTGGTCGAGAAGATTATTGAAATATGTCTTCTATAGAAACAATGGCATTTGTAGCTATTAATTGAATTGAAATTTGAAATTTGAAATTTGAAATGTGCTGTGTGGATTGTCTCAATGTTATAGCTTCATTCTTTGATTTCCAGGGAAAGAAAAGGAAAGATACAGTGGTCATTGCCCTTGCTGATGACACATGTGAAGAACCTAAGATCAGGATGAACAAAGTTGTCAGGGCAAATTTGAGGGTTCGGCTTGGTGATGTTGTTTCTGTCCACCAGTGTCCAGATGTTAAGTATGGGAAACGTGTGCACATACTTCCTATAGACGATACCATTGAAGGAGTCACCGGGGACCTCTTTGAATCCTACTTGAAGCGTAAGTATTCAATGTAATTGACCTATTTCATTTCTTATGAGCTCTTATACTTCAAGCAAATTAAATTCTTTGGTATTAAGATTATATATGGGGGATCCATAGTGTACTTTGAATCATACTCGTAACATAAGTAGTTAACCTGATTGACCTGTTTTGTTGCTAATGAGTTGTTTTACTTCATGCAAAATAAATTCTTTGTTAATGGGTTGATACAGGGAATACCTAGTCTAGCATGTGTCTACCAGGCCAAATGTTATTCTCAGTTTTCATTGTCAAAACTATCCATTATCAGTTTTCTTCTTATGACCTTTATAATGATTATGCATTTGGTTAGTGGTAGGAGGGATTCACTGGAAAAAAAAACTGATTATGGTAGGAGGGTTACGTTTCCTCTGGGCTGTAGTTAGAATCCTAAATTTGGCCTTTATTTCCTTTTTTTTTTTTTTTTCTTCTTTAAGTAGGATTATTTTGTTTGGGGTTGGTAGATAAGGTTTTTTATTTTATTTCTTTTAAATCTCTCTTTTAACTGGTTATCTTATCAAATGATTTTACAATTTTTGATCCTTAAAAATCATGTGAATCTTTGTTTATTTCCTTTGCAGTAGTCAGTAGATGCTCTGAGAGGTTTAAAATTCGAATTTTCTTTTTCATCCTAGCTGATTTAATAATTGTGCCTACTTTTGTTGCAGCTTACTTTTTGGAGGCATATCGCCCTCTGAGGAAAGGAGACCATTTCCTTGTTAGGGGAGGGATGAGAAGTGTGGAATTCAAGATCATTGAGACTGATCCTGGGGAGTATTGTGTTGTTGCTCCTGACACTGAAATATTCTGTGAGGGAGAGCCAGTGAGGAGGGAAGATGAGGATAGACTTGATGAAGTGGGCTATGATGATGTTGGTGGTGTTAGAAAACAAATGGCTCAGATTCGTGAATTGGTGGAGCTGCCATTGAGGCATCCTCAACTTTTCAAATCCATTGGTGTGAAACCACCCAAAGGAATTTTACTCTATGGCCCGCCTGGTTCTGGGAAGACGCTGATAGCAAGAGCTGTTGCTAATGAAACTGGTGCATTTTTCTTCTGTATCAATGGACCAGAGATTATGTCCAAGTTAGCTGGAGAGAGTGAAAGCAACCTTAGGAAGGCTTTTGAAGAGGCTGAAAAGAATGCCCCTTCTATCATATTTATTGATGAAATTGATTCAATTGCTCCCAAGCGGGAGAAGACGCATGGTGAAGTTGAGAGAAGAATTGTCTCACAACTGTTGACTCTGATGGATGGATTGAAATCCCGTGCTCATGTTATAGTTATGGGAGCCACAAACCGACCTAACAGTATTGATCCTGCTCTAAGAAGATTTGGTAGGTTCGACAGGGAAATAGACATTGGTGTTCCAGATGAAGTTGGACGCCTTGAAGTTCTTCGCATTCATACCAAGAATATGAAACTTTCTGAGGAGGTAAGGCCCCCTAATTGCTCTAGTCTTTTGGTGTTAGGAATAGTATTTTGATCACCTTTTGTAATGGTAACTCTAATTTGCAGGTTGATCTTGAGAGAATTGCTAAAGACACTCATGGTTATGTTGGTGCTGACCTTGCAGCTCTCTGTACTGAAGCTGCACTTCAATGCATTAGAGAAAAGATGGATGTCATTGATTTGGAGGATGAAACAATTGATGCAGAGGTTTTGAATTCCATGGCTGTTTCAAATGAACACTTCCAAACTGCTTTGGGAACAAGCAATCCTTCTGCTTTACGTGAGACTGTAAGTTTACTATTGCATAATTATATTCTTTGACATGGTATCTTTTTTTCTTCTTTAAATTTAATGCATTTTTGAAGTACAAATTTTAATGCCGTCATTTTTTGAATTTTCATGTAGGTTGTTGAAGTGCCCAACGTTAGCTGGGAAGACATTGGGGGCCTTGAAAATGTCAAACGAGAACTTCAAGAGGTAATATCTAGTTCGGTTTTGCAATATTGCAGTATTATTTGGGGTTGGCTATCATTGATCTAATTCTTGTTTACTTCTAGACGGTTCAATATCCTGTGGAGCACCCAGAGAAGTTTGAAAAATTTGGCATGTCACCTTCAAAAGGTGTTCTTTTCTATGGTCCCCCAGGATGTGGGAAAACTCTTCTGGCTAAGGCAATTGCAAATGAGTGTCAAGCGAATTTCATTAGTGTTAAAGGGCCTGAATTGCTCACAATGTGGTTTGGAGAGAGTGAGGCCAATGTTCGTGAAATTTTTGACAAGGCTAGAGGATCAGCGCCATGTGTTCTCTTCTTTGATGAGCTTGACTCGATTGCCACTCAGGTATTTCTTTTCCCTGATTGTTCAAAATTTGAATAAGAGCAATATTTACAGTGTTCTGACAAACCGAATGAGATTAACATTGATTGGCCAATCATTATATTTAAGGAAATATACTTTGTTAGGATGATTGGAAGGATATTGAGGCAATTGAGGTGTTTTTTCTTTATTTGTTGTATATGCTTTGGTCACAACTTCTGAGCTATGTCTATGAGAAATCTCTTCTTGGTATTGTTACAGAGGGGAAGCAGCGTCGGGGATGCTGGTGGTGCAGCTGATCGGGTTCTTAACCAACTTCTAACTGAAATGGATGGCATGACTGCAAAAAAGACTGTTTTCATAATTGGGGCTACAAACAGACCTGACATAATTGACCCTGCACTCCTTCGTCCTGGCAGACTTGATCAATTAATTTATATCCCTCTCCCTGATGAGGATTCACGCCACCAGATTTTCAAGGCTTGCCTTAGAAAATCTCCTCTTTCAAAAGATATTGATCTGCGAGCTCTTGCAAAATACACTCATGGATTTAGTGGAGCTGATATTACAGAAATCTGCCAGCGAGCCTGCAAATATGCCATTAGGGAGAACATTGAGAAAGTATGTTCTAAGCCTTGTCTACTTTTTACTTTCATTTGGAATAATATTATTCCTTTACCAACTTCAGTCTCAATACTCTGCACTATTTTGCAACTTTGGTTTGTCAATTCTTTGCTGGGATTTGGAAACACTTGGGGCCTATCAAGCAAAATTTGAAAAAAAAAATGCTTTTTTTTTTTATAACAGATTATCTCAGAATACTCAACAAATTCTTTCTTCTTTCAGGATATAGAGAGGGAGAAGAGGAGAAGTGAGAATCCTGATTCCATGGATGAGGATGTTGAGGATGAAATATCGGAGATTAAGCCTGCACATTTTGAGGAGTCCATGAAGTATGCTCGTCGCAGCGTTAGTGATGCTGATATACGCAAGTACCAGGCATTTGCTCAGACGTTGCAGCAGTCTCGAGGCTTTGGAACCGAGTTCCGCTTTGCTGAGTCAGGATCCGGCGGTGCTTCCGGAGCTGACCCGTTTGCGACATCCACTGCTGGAGCCGATGAAGATGACTTGTATAGTTAAGACATGTTAGAATGTCCTCCTACCCTTGTTATTTTTTTGCAATGACACTTCTGCTTCATTCATTGCTCCCATGACTACTGATTAACTGTTCTTTATTGGGCTTCGGATATTGACACTTCGACAGGGTTGTGTCTGGTCAACTTCGTTTCTACTGTTCTCAATATTTTCAGTTTAAGACCTGATAATACCTTTTGTCCTAATTAGATGCATTCCATATGGGCACTAATATTGTTCTTGATCTCCTGTAGAACTGTCATCATATTGAATGTATATTAATATACTTGCCCAGAAGGCTATGAGACGGTCCCCATTCTGAACTTGCAAACCTCTGTTGTTAGATATCACACACAATTGCTTCTACAACACATAAAAGTACTGTTATATCATCACAATTAACAATTGCAATTCATCAAAATATCTTGGTAAATTTAATTTACTTTTAAAATATAATAATAGGCAGAAGTGTCATCCTGCACTATGAACTATCATAGATTGTTCATGCCGCACATTGACTTCATGCCGCACCTTGACTTTTCACAAAATTCATTTCGATTCATTTACCAGGAATTTTTGGGCTGCTCATCATCCACGCCCCCCTCTTCTTCCATCACCATCTTCGTGAAGTAATTTCTAAATTTGGGTTCCTATAAACTTTCCCCCAAATTTGGGTTCCTATAAACTTTCCCTCGTCGCCAGCAAACCACTGTGACTCAACAAAATGGATGGTCACAACAATAATGCAGCCACTCTTCCCTCAAAACAACAAGCTCCTCCGCTGCTGAAGTCTCCAGAGGTAACCGCCACGAACTAGGCTAATGCCAATTCCGGCCACCTCTTGATTTGCGTCTGCCGTGTCTGCACCGGTGCTGTCCCAACTCCTCACTTCTGTTCCAACATTATCGCATCTCCCCATGAGCTTTTAGGTAGTCCTCTCCATAATCTGCCCATGCTAGTTTTTCAATTCGGTTGCTTCAAACCACACCGCTCGGAACGGGATTGCCCCGCCGGACCACAACCGCAACCGGTGCTCGCTCACTTTCGTAGTAAAGTTTCAAAGGAAAAAGTGTATCCCAGCGTAGTAATACCGCCGTCAAACGAAAATCAGAAAATCGGCCGGGAAATCTCACTACCTAAGATGTAGGATATTTCGTTCGTAGAAAATCGGCTGAGAAATCTCATTGCCGGAGATATCCCTAGTTCATGGCCGACTGCTAACAAATAATAGAGGGAAAAAAATTATTGGTTCCTAAATCTTAACAAAGAAGGTGCCATGTCATCTTGGTAACTGGGAAATTTGTAAAAAATACTAGATGAAAAAAATTATTGGAAAGTGAATCGAAGTAAATGTTATGAAAGGTCAAGGTGTGGCATAAACAATCCGGGATAGTTCATGGTGCAGGATAACACTTCTGGTAATATAATATATAATATATAATAATAATAGTAAGAGTTAATACCCATTTTGGTCTCTCGACTATTAGGTAATGCGCAATTTAGTCCCATACTATTAAAAGTACCCAATTTAGTCCTCTAACTTGTAAATCATACCCAATTTGGTCCGCCGTTACGATTGTCATCCATCCACCGTTATAGAGAGGGGCAAAAACGTCATTTTATCTAATATTCGAGGGACTAAAATGAGTATTAACTATTACGGAGTATTATCTAATAGTCGAGGGACAAAAAATGGGTATTAACCATTGATAGTGGGACAATGTCTCCGCCTGCCACCATATTACTTCTTATTATTTTAAAAATTAAAATTACCACAAAAAATCATGCGTGGTCTTTCCTCTATTTTTTTTCTCTCATGAGACCTAAAAAAACCACTATCTCTAAGGAATTCAAAATGCACTCTCTCTCTCTCCTCCAACTCATATTGGACCCCACAAAAAATCATAAATGGGGTTGCTCTTAGTTAGTTTTGTATATCAAGACTACGGGTGTGCAATCGGTTAACCGAACTGTTTTAACTGAAGTTTTTAAAACTTTAACCGTTAACCGAATCGAACTTTGTATTACCGAATTAACCGAACTGTAGTTTTTTCGGTTAATCGGTCGGTTAAAATCCTAAAAATAATACAGATAATAATAAATATAATTAAAATAATACATATAATAATAAATTCATAAGAAATATACAAAAACAATACAATAACAACATTACAAATTTATAGAGATTTTACATATTAGATTATTTATTTATTTATATATTTAAAATCTTGGTTAATCGACAATTTCGAACCGAATTAACCGTTAACCAAATCAAATCATCAAAAGATATCATTATGTTCCGAAAGGACTAAAGAGTGGTCAAGTGAGTGAAGCATTATTTGAAGATCATTATAGAGTTCGATTTTTGTCAATACTTTCTCAAATTTTGGGCACATATAAAATAATGATTGCAAAATATTCTCTTCACCAAAAAAATAAATAAATAAAGAGAAGACAACTTGATAGTGGATTGATCGAGATCAGCCTAAAAAATGTTTTGTGAAAATCATTTTCCAAGATCAAAGACCACATTAAACAAATTAAAAATAGGAGAAATCTTAGAATACGTCATATGATGTCGTAATGGATATGCCAGCTCTGGGAAGCAAATAACAATTATAAGGTTAGATTCGAGAGGATAATAATTAGTGTACTCTAATCATATATGTTTATTTAGCTAAAAGAAAAGAAATTGAGATTTCATTAGTGTTTTTTAGTCAATTAACTCACACCATATTTATGGACAAACAACTTTATTAGTTTACATTTTATTTTTTAAAATAATACTGCAGGAAGTAATATGGTGGTGGGAGACATTATCCCAATGATAGTAGTAGTAGTAGTTAAAATCCATTTTGGTGCTCAACTATTAGATAAAAGGACGTTTTTACCCCTCTCTATAACGGTGGATGGATGGAAATTGTAACGGAGGATAAAATTGGATATGATACCGTTATCTTATTTATTTATTTTAATTTTTAAATTTATTAAAATATATAAAAATATGTTAAGGATATTATAGTGTGTGAATAAAAGATAACTATAAACCAAACATGATTATATTACATACCCCAATTTTAACCAAACATAGGAATCTAACATTCCCAGTAATCTAACATTCCCTAAGATAATTTGACATTCCGTGAACCAAACGACACCTAACTCTAATCTTTATATATATATATATATATATATATATATATATATATATATATATATATATATATATAATAAAGCAGAATCTAGCCACAAAATTTTTCCTCCAAAGTGTGAATGCATTTTGATAGAAACAAGATTAACAAGTATGAATGCATTAATTGTGTGGGTAGATGTATTTATACACATTTTTTTTGAAGTTTTTATGTGTATTTATATTTTATAAATTATATTTTATTATTATAGCTCTATCCCTATCTCTATATATATTAAAGCATAATGAAGTATGGAAAAAAGTTTATTGTGTTCAAATTTATTGGTAAAGTTTTATATTTAATATAAATTGTGTATATATTCATTTAAACCTCAATTATAATTAATTTGACTCCACATATATAAAGAGGAGAAATTAGATATAAAATAAATATAGTTCTTACATAAATAATCTTTTTCAAATGAATAAGTTTTTGGTGGAGATTTTCGACAAATATCGCTTGTTGTTTTATTTACAAGTTTTATTTATATATGTTAGTTATATAATTAAAGTAGTTATTTCAAATTCAAATTCCTTTTAAAAAAAATTCAAATTCAAATAATAATACAAGTAACAATAAACTTTAAAATCAACATAATAATAGCATAATTAAACTTTTAAAAATATTAAATATTACATTGTATAGTTATACTTACATTTTTAATCAAACTAATTCTGAGCTCAAGAATTCAAGTACGTTTTTCTGTTTCCACAACTATTACTTTCTTTACTAATTTAGAGGATGTCAAAAATTTAATTAGTAAATTTGTTAAATTAATAATAATTCGTGCATTGCACGAGACAATTATGAGTAGTAATAACAATAATATTTAAGTTAGTTATAAAAGGTTTGGCTCAACTTGCTGAATAAGGTGAGACCTCACAGTGCCCATTTTTGAACGACATCGCAGGTGCACATGAGTCGAGAGAGATTTGATTTGCACATTTCCTGAGTGTGTGAGAGCGCCTCTAAACTACACAATTCAAACACTCATAGAAAGGAAATTGTATATATATACTAGTGGAAATTCACTTTCTTTTCCAATGCGATAAAAAACTCATTCAAAGCCTTCTCACCATTTTTCAACTCAAATGAATGTACTTTGAAAATCGATCAATTTTTCATTTAGCATTATTTATTTTGAATGTATTATATATCAAATTAAACCCATAACTTTGGATCGAAAGTGAACCCTACTCAAAATTATATCTTAAAATGATCATTTTACATGTTAAAAATCGCTAATTTTCCAACAATAGCAAGGCAAATGAAGTAGGCATCTGATCTAGACTCAGAAAAATTGGAATGTCATAATCATTTAAATAACCTAAGCATATTAACTTGTGTGCAAATAACTTGAATCGAATAGTATGAATTGTGGCTTAACTTAGTCAAGAATGCAGCCGAGCAAATGTTTTTATTAGGAAAAATTGTCAAATAGGTCACTACAGCATATTATTTTGTCGATTATGGTCCACACGCTGCTATGTGGACCATAACAAAAAGTACATTTTTAATATACTAAAAGTACATTATTTGTGTACTAAGGTACATTATACAAAATAATGTACTTTTAGTACTCAAATAATGTATTTTTCTTGAATACAATGCACATTTTAATTAATATACTAAAAATACATTATTTTTGTACTAAATGTACATTATTTGATAATATGGTCCATATAGCTGTTTGGACCATGGCCCATACAATAATGATTGGGTGATTACACTTTTGTGTAATTGGGTCCGTTGTTAGAAATAAACAAATTTCTGACCACCCAAAAGTGGTCGGAAATGGACATAATCCGGTCGAAAATGCCTTTTCCGACCATTCTAGGTATTCGGGAAAGGCCTCGTCGTTAATTTCGACCACCTTCTTAAGTGGTCGGACATAGTGACCACGTATAGAGAGTCGTCGGAAAAAACTACGAGCATAGCAATATGATGGATCCGGATTTTCCGACCACATGGGTCGGTATGGATTTGGACCCAAAAATGTGCTCGTTTCAGGTTTCCGACCACCAAAATTCGGAACAAAGAATATTTTGTTATTCCAGATTTCCGACCACCAGTGGTCGGAAATTAACAAGTAAATAATTTTGAATTATCCAGATTTA